GGCGTCAGGTCATATTTTGTGTATATATTTTTTTTTTTTTTGTTTTTTTGTTTTTTTTGGGTTAAAAATCGGTTTTTTGGAAAAAATTCTTAAATACTCTAAAACATGCCCAAGAGATGTGAGAGTTTTTAGAACACGGAATAGCTTCTAAAAAGAAATTAAATATACATAAAAAGTGAGCAATATTCCAACTAATGCATAAAACAAATTATGAACATAGGAGATGTGTTTTGATGTTTCAAGGTATCGTATTACATACTGAATAAATTTGCATAAAATAAATTACGATACGCTGAATAGATAGATATGACATGTGAATAGATAAAACAAACGAAGAACAGTAAAGAAAGAATTTTCTTATCGTGATAAAACTTTCTGATTAACGATGTCAGTCGGAGGGAGTTCTATGTCTCCTCTCATGTTGCTAGTCATTGTTGACAGATGATTATTAGGGCCCCACGGTAGGCGTCAAACTGTAGATGCAAAAAATCTACCGTCATGAAAATATAGTCTGATCCCGTGAGGTTGAGGCCACTGACAATCCACTAGACCTACACACATGAAAGTAGGGGTGTTATCGAGCCGAACCGAGCCGAGTTTTCGGCTTATCGAGCTCGGCTCGTGAGAAAGAAAAAGTAAACGAGCCGAGATCGAGTCGAGCCGAGTCAAAAATTATATGGCTCGACTCGGCTCAATAATAGATTTAATATATTTTGAGTCGGCTCGCGAGCCGATTTATCGAGCCTAATTCGAGCCGGCTCGCGAGCCATCTCCAAATAATTTTATTTTTTTATTCAATTTTTTTTTTGCAAAAATTCGGGCACAAGCTGGCTCGCGAACCAAGTAAACAAATTTTCTTTTCAAAATTCGGTCAGCTTTTCTCCTCCCTCATTTATTACTCTTCTTTTCTCTCTCTCTCTCTCTCTCTCTCTCTCATTTATTACTCTCTCACTTCTTTCCTCTAAATTATTGATTTGCCTTCCTTTCTCTCTCCAGAGTCAACGGCAATGGTTTGTTTCTCTCTTCTTCTTCTTTTTTTCCCTTTCTCCCTATTTCCCTTGCTCTCTGCGTCTCCACAACTCTGAAGATATTCTCATCCTCTTCTTATTACTATTTACTTTCTCTTATTTTCTCTCTTCTCTCATGACGCTTGTTTCTCCTATTTTCTCTGTCTTTATTTTTTTTCTCCATTTTCTTATTTTCTCTTTCTTCCTTTCATTCTTTCTCCTTGTTTCCCCGGCACTCCCCGGTCTCCACCAACTCTGATTTCTTTCCTCGTTTTTTTTTTCCTTGTTCCCTGCATTCTCCACCAAATCTGACGCCGACTGCCTAAAATGGTTTGGTTTAGTTTAGTTTGAGGAGAAAGAGTTTTAGTCGCGTTTTTAGGGATTTTAACATGGGGTGTTCTTTGTCATTTTTATAAATTTTTTGTTTTAAAAATTTGAGTGTAATCCCTTATACTTAATAAAACCCTCAAAACGCCCCTAATAATTCGAGCCTGACTCGGCTCGCGAGCCTAACGAGCCGAGTCGAGACAGGCTCGAACTCGACTCGTGTTCTCTCACGAATCGAGCCGAGTCGGCTCGATTTCAGATGAGGCGAGCCGTTAACGAGCCGTACTCGAGTCGAGCCGAGTCGGCTCGCGAGCGGCTGGCCTCGTTGAACAGCCCTACATGAAAGGATAAGCGTGAAGCTTACGGAAAACACCTAGGTGGTGTTTGTCGTAGGCACTCCGACGCTCAAGTCAGCAAGACTGAAAGAGATGATTTAATAAGAATTAAGGAGAATAAGGATTACCAAGAGTCTTGTCAGAGGCTAAGACTATGGTGGAGACGTCAGATTCTTGAGAGCAAGAACTTTAGGAGCAAATAATGGTTTTGAGTAGTATAGATTGAATATTGGAGATTCCTCTTGTATGAGAGGGCAGGCCTTTGTTTATATAGTGAACCCAAGGGGTTGGAATCCTAGTAGGATACTAAGTCCTATTTTGGGAGATAATCCCTTTCAGGAAAGAAATATGATTTCTTGACTTTATCAGGCTAAGTTTAATAGTTTGAGTAAGATTTGGCATCTTAGTAGAAGAGGAAATGGAATAGGATTCTGATTTCCTATTTATGGACTGTTGCAGGCTAATGGGCTGAAACCCAGTTTAGCTTAATTTATAGGATAGCCCAACTCATAGAGTGAGTAGTTCACAAGGTGATTTTAAGCGTAGGTCTAATCGGGATTGGGTTGAGGCCTTAGGCCGTGACATGTTTATTTCATTATTGGGTCTCTTCAGGCTCAAGACGATTTTTGGCCTTAACAATAATGTTAATTTATGCTTTATTTAAAGTTTTAAATCCTATAATCCATATCTTAGCTTGCATGTCTTGTTCACATGCCTTCCATCATTTTTCCGCCACCACTTCATGGATTTTCATTTAGCCTACATTCACAGGCGAAGATAAAAGAAGAATTTCATTAATAAAATGGAGTATATAACATTTGGTGAAACTCTCAATCTCAAATCCCAAATACACCCAATATCTCTCACACTCTAATCTCTCTAACTCAATCTCTTCGTCTCTAGTGTTTGTATTGCTTGAGAATGTGTGTGTGTTGATCTTCCCCTGAAAATGCACCCATATTTATAGTGGAAGAAAGTCATTTCACGTCAAAATTTACGGGACCAAATAAGGGATTTGCAAAGACTTGTAGCCGCCATCTTAGCTTAAGAATGTTGACTTTATTTGAGAGACATGAAGCTAAAATTTTGCTTCCAATTCGGTGGCATTAAATGTCTCCATACAAATTCAATTTCAAGCCTTTGAACATGTGTGAATGTGAGACAAAAATGTTCATGGTATTTATGAGCTATAGACCAAAACCATGTGAATTACTCACCTTTGCACTATTTAAGCCACTTGTTCTACAAATCCCCACCTTGGCTTAAATAGTGAAAAACTTCATATTTAACTTCTTCTATTATCTTCTCCAAATTTCTTAGAGGATTTACGTGGAGTAAATGCCAATCAAGTCCAAACAATGTTTGAACTTGATTATCTATTTCACTATTCATTAAAAACCCTAAAAATTAGGATGATGATCGACGAATAATTAAAGGTCGGGATGTTGGGGCTTTTGAAGAGAAAGTGTTGGTGAGTGCAATGGTGGCAACAAAGTTGATTTCCGATGAGTGAATCGATCAGAAATCGAAAAAAATAGGCGGCAACAATAGCCAGCTTTTGTCGGTGATCGGTGAGGCTAACAAGGGTAGGGTGAGGTGGGTTTTGGTCAGGAGGTTGCGGGGAGTATTTTTGTGGTGATGGGGAGGGTTGTCGACATCAACATCGGTGAGATCTGGCCTGAAATGTCGATATTGGTGTTGGTGAGATTTGGCCAAAATCGAACCGATTTCGATCAAATATTGGATAGATTTTCTGGGGAATGGGTTCAAGAGATGATTGGGATTGCATTTGGTGTGTCGTCGTCGTCAACCAATCGACTGCCGATTTGTATTTGGGGTGTGTTTGCTAAATTCCAAACCTGTAGGGACTTAACAAATTTTTAGGTGTGTATTTGCTAGATTTTAAAAATTGTCACCTGGTTTGATTAATCGGTTAAATCGGTCAACCTGAGACCCGACAACTTTGTCAGGTTTCACTTTAGGTTGGTTATTAAAATATTGCTGAGAATTGTAGAGTAGATCTAGTTTATCAGGAATTTGATGTCTGTTGGAAGTGTTTGATTGACAAGTATGGATATAACTCAAGTCAAATTAAAAAAGAATACATAACAAGAAACGTATGTACAAACTTGTATGTATTAGTATAGGATTAAACAATTGCATGGTCGCACAGAGGAGACAAAAGTGTAGATTTGTTCGTAATAAGAATTGCATTTGAATGTTAATGACAGTGTCTAAGATTCTGTACGAGATTTTACATACCAATGTTTAATTTTAATGTTACTTAAACTAATTGATCAATCTTTTTAGATGTTTCTAGATGATCAAACATTATAGCAATTATATATGTTTAATCCAATTTATGAATTTGATCACCATATTTTATTGCGAATAAATTGATGGAATAATAGTTAATCCAATAACTTAGCAAAAACTGAAAATATATATATATATATATATATATATATATATTATATATATATATATATATATATATATAGATATATATATATATATATATATATTATATATATATATCTTATTTTTAAATGCCAACTACCCAAAAATCCAAAAAATATCTAGTATATGTTTAAGACATATCAAGGATTAACCATATTTTTATTGAATAATATTACACTTATATTCAATCTCACAAACTTTCTCTCACAATTTTGACGTACAGCTCGCAAATGGGTCATGCTTTTCCATTTGCGAGTTACCCCGTCAAAGTTGTTAAAAAAAGTTTGTAAAATTGAGTTGTGAGTCAATCTTTATCCATTTTTATTTCGCTCATGATAATTCCTAAATATAGGATATGGATATGGAGTGATTCAGGGGTGGAGATTGAGACATATTGTCAGTACAATGAATACTTATGCAACTCAATTTGTACTCTAAAAAGAAAAAAAAAATCTTGCTATAAGTGAAATGCAACAAACAATGAGAGAGTAAATGTGGCATCTTTTCATTGGTTAGTTGTATTGCAATATGTTTTATAAAAGAAAAAAAAAAATTCTCTCCTTTAAATTTAGAATTATAATTTTAAAATTATAAAATTAATAATAGAAAGATGGATTATCATTAAAAAATAAGAAGTGTTTAGTACAAATACAAATTAGGAAAGTTTGATCTCTTTCACAATATTCCATCTCAATCGGGAAAACATTAAACACCAACAAGAAGTCCTTCTTATTCGGACTTATTTAACCTAACTCTGTAAATACCCCCCCCTTACTCTTCAAAATTAAAATACCATTGAAATCACTCTCTTGATTTTATCTCTACTCTCTTGATTTCTTTCCCGCTCTTCCAATCAAATCAAACATCAAGAATGGCTCGCAATCTTCAAGAAGAACTTAAAATTTTTCACAATATTGACCGCCTAGCGTATGCTTGTTTAGTGTTCGACTTGCATTTGTCTCCTAAAATCGGCTCCGAAATTGTGGCCTTCTGGAATTGGCTTGAACGTATTGGTTACGTTAACTTTGTCAAAAATTCACTAGACTTGCCTCCTCCATTATTTCTTGAATTATCACAGGAGTCTGAAGCGTGCCTGGATTTTTTAACGAGAGAGTCTTTTTCGGTTGATGATGAGAAATTGCTTCCACAAATTTGTAGTCTTGCTGGGAAGACTCTCTCTTTTGGAGACGTTTATGCAAACAAAGTGCATGCAGAAAGACACATGAAGGTGTTTAAGTGGAATGTGTGCGAGAGGATTTTTGATGACATAACTCCAGGAACAAGAAGTTCAGGTAATGGGGTTAATGGGGCAATCCCGAATGGTGAAATTGTTCGAGTGCAAGATAATAATGGGTCAAATTATTTGCCCCAGATGGTGTTTGATCAATTATGGGAAGATAATGGAAATCATTCACACTCGGTGGTAAATGAAAGCCAACCTAGGCAAGATCAACAAGCTAATAATGGCAGTCGCAATTTTGATGATAAAACTCTGTTTGTAACTTTATCTAAGGGGGCATTTGGTTAGGGGGTATTTGAGATCACTTAGGTTAAGTCATCTTATATTACCTGATTATCATGTTTGGTTGTCAAGTAATATAAGATACCGGTAATCTTCAAATACCAATAATGGTTACTATTGATAATATTTGAGGTAATCTAATTACCTCTATTTTCTTAGATATTCTAAGATTATTAGAGTTTATCTTTTTTTTGTTATAATTCTATCCCTTATTAATAAAATTTTAGGACAATAATGCCTTTATTTTTGAATTTATTTACATGAATATGGCTTTTACTATCTCACCCCCAATTAATTAATTTTTTGGACAAAATTACCCTTGAATTCAAAACAAATTACAGCCCACCCAAGCTACCACCCCCAGCCACCTGCCGCTGATAACCACCGCCGTGGCCAACTGCAGCCGCCGTCAGAACAGCGCACGGAAGGCCAAAAATGGTTGTCGTGCACCAATATGGCCATTTCCGGCTAGATATCTGGCCGAAAATGACTAGATCTGGTCGTCAAATGCCAAATCCATCAATCTGGCCGTTGACTGCCAGATCAGATTCGTCATCAATCTCGCCGTCAACGACCAGATTGATGGTCGTTGACGACCACAGACGTGGTCATTAACGGCCAAATTAGATCTAGTCATCAACGGCCAGATCTGGCCATTTCCGTATCGGCGCACGACGACCATTTTTTACCTTCCATGCGCCGCTAGGTTGCCCGCGGCTTGCGGGTTTTTGCTAAGTTTTAAATGTAGGGGGGTTATAGTAATCCAAATAATAATAATATTAAAAAATAATATAATAATAATATTTAATTAGAGGACAATTCAGTCATTTAAATAACATACCCACCAATTTATTCCTCACAACCAAACATATTAATATAACATACCCACCAATTAATCAAACATATTTTCCTAAAGATTTCCAGTAATCTTTAAGGTAATCTATCTTTCCAGTAATCCAACATTCCCAGTAATCCAACATTCTCTGAACCAAACGCCCCCTAAGGGTCATCCCATTACGCATCAAGAACTTGGAAGAGTTTTTCACCAGGTAATTTCCATGTCTCAGTGATTAATTAAAATTAGTGATGTGGGTTATGTTATGATTATTACCAATGGGGGTTTGGGTTTGATTTAATGCAGGAGATATGGAGGAGACTGTATTGAGAATATATATATGAGTGAATTGTTTGCTCGCGTGGTGGTAACTTCACCACAATATATTAAAAGGATTCTTGGAGAGACAGAGATAGTGCAGTCCAATATCCATGGAAAAATGTAAGAATAAGACGTTTTATCCCTAGAGGCCCACCACCACCAGCAATCTAAGGGCAGGTTTACTTCAAATTACAGAACACGTACGCAATTGGGCTACTACATATTTTTATACGCCCGGGCCTACCCTCACATTTAAAAAAAAAAAAAAAAAAAAATGTTTATACAGGCCGATAAAAAAATTCTATTAATATATATATCCAAGCCTACCTTCAGATTTAAAAAAAAAAAAATATATATATATATATATATCCAGACTCATAAAAAACTTGTTATTAATATATATATTCCAAGCCTACATCATATTAAAAATTTAAAACCCTCTCCACTTTTTTCTACGTCCATCTATTTTTTATGATTTTATTCCTAAAATTATTTACTCTCTCATTCTCTCTTTCACTTTCTCTATGTTATTCATTCTTAAAACTTTTGAAAACTGAAATTGTTGAAGTTTTCACTAATCAGGGTGCCACAATTAACTTCGTTTTTTGTTTTATCAGTTTTAGGCATGTGTATTGCTCATTTCATTTTAGTTTATTTTAGGATAAAATCATGCTTATTTTTTGAAGGTTTTTTACTCTAATTTGATGGAAAAAGGCATGGATCTTGTGAGTTTGTTTTGTGTTTAAGAATGTTCATGTTTTCCCAAATTAAACCTTAATTATATTTTACTGAAAGTTATTCTTCATCCTGCACCCATCACTTTCCTAGATTTCAAACGTCACCGATTGGCTGCTCAAAATTATTTAAGAAGTTTGAGTTATTATCTATGTTTATACTAAGAAAATTTTCTATTTTTTTATTAATTCATATTAAAAGTCAAGGCAATATTGACTTAATTTAAGTTTTGATTGACTTTAGCTTAGGCTAGGCCTGATCAAAGTCATGAAAATTTATATTATAATCTTTGAAAGCAAAAAAAAATAAAAAATAAAAAAATAAGAAATAAGAAATTTGTGTAGAATATTTTTGGTAGATTGTGATTGTTGTAAACTCTTTTAATTATATTGGATTTAAGTGGATTGTTAGATCTCCGTGGCCTTTTGCTCTCTTTAATTGAAGAGATTTTTCCACGTAAAAATTTTCTTGTGTTTCCTCGTGAATTTGATGTTATTTTCAACATAATTTGTTCAAGGTTTTGCTTCTTATAGATTTATTCAAATAGTAAAGTATTGTGTTATTACATTATTTTCTTTCAGATTATTGATATTGTATTATTTTCTTTGCTTAAGGTTTAGTGATTTTTTTTTAAGTTTTCACTAGTTATTTGACAAACAATAGTGAAACCGCGGAGGCCTCCCCTAACAAAAATCCTGAGTCCACCGCTGGATGTGTGTATATATAGTATCACTCTTAAGTCTTATCTAAAAGATCGAATCCTATTAAATAGAATTATGATATTTTGAATAGATTGTAGTTATATTATTAATGGATAGACTCTGGTCATATAGTGATAAGGAGGAGTCGAATTGTTGCCATGGATATCCCCATTAGTGGAAGAATTCACCCAAATTTCTTCAATTCAACTATATGTATTGACTTTAAAAGGCTATCGAAATCAGAATGACCTCAGTCTCCTCTTCCGCACTTGTGTGCATATTTTTGTGGATAATGGGAGGTGTTTTGGAGTTATATAATGGTGGGGTGGTTAAATTTTTGGCATTACCTAGCCTTTAACCAAGCGGAATGAAGTTAATCATATTGTTGAAAATGGAGAAAATCTGGATCGTTAATTTTTCCTGTGGAAACGGATACTATTTTATCCTTGTAACTGCCACACTTGCCTCAATTAAAACTATACTTATATAGTGACTGAGGGTTAAAATCATAAAAACAAGAGTAATAACTTCACTTTACAAACTTACATTCATTACAACGAGCTTAACTCGATGAACCAGAATTCGTTATAAGCATTATACACTTGGAACCTCAAGGGATTGGTCTGACAGTTAAGAAAGTTTGTTCTATTCTTTGAGTTCAAACCTTGCGGCCACCTGGCACAAAGCGACTTACTTGGTCCTTTGGGTGGTTCACAATAACATTATGGCTTACCTAGTCCTTTTGACTTGTATGATGTTCAATGGATCTCAGAGAGTAATTGAGATGCATGTAAGCTGACCCTAACACCCGGGTTACCAAAAAAAAAAATATGCACTTGGAACAATTTCTGTCAAAACCATTCCCCAACTTTGCAACAGCCACACACACCCCTTTTCAGTGCCACCATTTTAAATGCCATGAGCCATGCGTCACATTTTTGTAGCGTTGTAACATTTTAACTTGGGTTCTTTCTTGCTTTTCTTCTTTTGATTAATGCCACCCTTTTTAAAAGAAAATAAACAAGTTTAGTGGATTAGTGCGATGACAATTGACAAGCACATCAATGGTTTGTTACTAGACAACGAAAATATTCTACATATACATGATGGTAACTTATCATAAAACGACCTTAATTAATATTTGGGTCGAGAAACAAGCTATGGATACGTTGTCCTATTTAATTGGCAGACTTGGAGGTGGGGTCACCGTCCCCTCATTACAGGTCTAAATTTCTCTCTTGCCATGCACCAACACAATATCTATATTTCACTCTCTGTTTATTTATATGAACATGTTTTAACATACAGGTATTGTGTTGTTTTTAAGTATACAGGGAGTGGATTGGGTTGACACTTGGTGGTGCGGATGGCTATTAATTTGATTGTGTATTTAATTCAGATCCACATCAATAGCATTGACGCTGCTCAAATCTTCAACTTCGCAATGGTTGTTCACTAGTTTCCCGCCATTGCCATCATTGCCACTCTCTCTTGGGCTCTTTCTCTGTCATTCTCATATCTCATGTCTCTCTTTGTTGGTAAACTACACCCACCCACTTGAACTTGCCCAAAACATTAAGATTTCTAACAATTTACATTTACACTACCCTACCCTTACCTTTCAGGGAATAACAATTCTAGCCCTGACAGCATCACTTGACAGCTTGAGCCTCAACCATTGAAATGGGTTCAAGTTTGTGCAAAAAGCCAACGAACCTCCAATTGGCAGTATTATATCATGTATAGCTCTGGCAACTTTAGCATGGGAGAACACGATTTACTTTAGCGACAATAGGAGCCAACCAATTTGATAAACCTCAACATCGTTTGACTTTCTTCACTGGTACTTCTTAGCTATGTACGTTTCCTCTGTATGGTGCCACAGCTATTGTGTATATGAGGATAATATTAATTGGAAATTGGATTTGGGATTTCTGTTGCTGCTATTAGTTGGACTTGTTTTTTCTTGTTGGGTAAATGTCTCTATTGGTGTGACAGCCACAAGGGAGCCCATTTATGAGTTTGTACTTCGTGTTGTTGTGCTTCGGTAAGAAAAAGAAAAGCAGAACTCTCGTCCAGACGTGAGGATTATTACCAGGACAAAATGGAAGGACCAATATCTTAATTGTAACACCTACCCGTAACTTCAGCTACAAACTAACTACTTATGTATATTATTATGCTTACATATGTTATAAAAACATAATTTATAATATATACAGATAACGTATACATCCAGTGCTATATAACATTTATTGTATTTCAGGATTCTGAACCGCGCAGCAATAAAACTGAAGGAGATATTGGAGCAGATGGCTCAATAGCAAAGCCATGGAGGCTATGCACAGTTCAACAAGTAGAAGATTTCAAAACTCTAATAAAAATATCCCAATAGGATTCAACTTAGCAGGTAA